AGTCAGTGAGTTCGACATTTCCTTCACTGCTGCGTAAATACGAGATGAACTATAGTTTCAAACAGCCTTTTTATAGAAAGTCTAAGTATCTCTATCGAACTGAAGATATTGTTTGATGGTTGACAATCATGCTTGAGGCCATTTTGGGGTAGAAATCCCAAACATTTTTGCTGCTTAAGGGACAACAAACTTAAAACTCTTTCACAAACCTTAAACACCTTCAAAATGCTGCGTTATTATTAGCAAATGCAATGTCTGTTTACATACAACATGATGGTTTCCATCCATCCATCCATCCATCCATCCATTATCTAGCTGTCCTTGTATAATAGGCCGGGTACACCCTGAACATGTCATCAGTCCATCAACAGGAATTAGACTCCATTGTTCGTCAAGATTAGTAGTTTATGGCTTTCCAAATTATTTACATCATGAGCTGTATTTCATTCGGTCATTTGAGGTGTTGGTTCTTTGCTGTTGAAAGCTTTGGGATTGGGTGAGAAGTGCACTCTGTGATCGTTTCAATTGGAAACGATTAGAAACCCGTTTTCATTTTATTCCCTCGAACCGATCAGGAAATTAGTGAATTGTCATGTTATCTATAAAAATATCTCAGTGGTGAAAAAAAGGGTTGGGATGTTGTTGTTGAAGACAAAACTGATAGTACAAGCAGGCAATCCGGCCTACCTGTCTTGCTTCCATTTGAGGAGTTTGTGTTCGCTCGAACTAAAGAGTTGATGATGACATTTGCTCCATTGTGAGGGCAGAAATGGTGCTTCCTTTGATGCCTGTACGGCGTTTATCTAAAGATTTAGATGTTTTGATTGAAACGCTTGGTAAAAAATGTTTTTCTTTGTTTAGTATTTCAATCTGTCTGGATTTTTTGTCGGTTTACGACCACTTATCAGTCATAACACAGACTGCAGTGAGAATCTGGTGCTCTCTGAGCTTGGTTCTGTTGGAGGTTTCTGCCTATAAAAAAGAGGGAGCGTTTTCATCTTTGACCCTGTTTATGCGCATGGAAGGTGGGCTGAATTAAACCAAGGACCTGTCTGTCTGTTTTTGCGCAGCCATATTTATTCTATTACCTTTTAACAGATTTAACGGTTCTCCATTGGAGGTTAGTGTGAAAATCATCTTTGGGTCTTGTAAACTGCACCATTCTGCGTCCTCACTCTGGAAGGAACTTTTTTTTTCAGATTTTTTTGTCAATTTTGCGCACCCAAAACATAAACAGACAGGTTGCTTTAACTTAAAGTCATATTTCTTTTATTGTTTTTCCTCTGTACTCAAAAATATTATGACCACAGTTTCTTTCTGTCAAGTCTTTCTTTCCTTTTTTCCACATTTGGCATTATCTCATCTACGAGCTTGATCCGTGGGTTTGCTGTTGTTCATTGGTGCAATGCACCTCATGCTATTAAATTAGTTGACACATGGAAACAAACAGAAACTCTAAAATCTTAGTAATCACAAAATGGCGCCATTTAACCTTCTGTTCACCTCCTGCAATCCTCTAGGATTAAAAGTGACTCAGAGGAGACAGTGACGGGCTCCTTCAAGGACCTTGTCTCCTACATATTAACTACATGAGTTGAGAATGGACAACTTACTCGTTAAAAAATGTGAATGTTTAAGCAAGATAAGCTATAACATAGCTGCTCAGCCAGGCTAAAGCTCGGTGTAATCAAATGTTTCAGTACAGGTACCGTACATACAAATCCATCCTGCTGACTCAGCAGGAGTATTTCACGCACTACTTGGTGCCCTTTTTTTTTACGGGAGAGTGAATTGGTTATCATAAAGTCTAATCTGCTATGGTGCACCATGAAAATGTAATGTATTGCACAACATGTTTCTCAATGGTACATGCAGTGATTGTGGTTTGGTTAAAAAATGACAAGACACTGCTGTTTCCCGATAAAGAACAAGTGAAATAATTAATGAGCGTGTTATTCAAGGTGAAGATTTTCAGTGCGATGGCATATCGTTCAGGGTATTCAAGGATAAAAAGACCGCAGGGCAGCCTGTTGTGTGCAAGAAAAGCAAATTAAAATGCTGAAAGAAAAGCTTTCAAAACGCAAAACATGCACCCCCAGAACTGTGCACACATACTGCTATCTCTAATATAGAGGGGGTTTGTTTTGAAAAGGCACCTTTTTAACTAAAACTGGAGTTTATGCATGCAGATCAGTTTAATATCAGTTACCAAGGCTTTGG